CCAACATGAAATACTATCAGGGCAAGCCAAGAATGTATGCCATGTATTTTTAGGGCCTCCATTGCAGAAGACGCACACTTCTGGACAGCTTAATCCGCGACCACGTAGCTGATTCCTATCCGGCAAACACTCTCTACCTACACACCAAAGGAATACACGGCTACGCACACCTTTAATTTGGTGGAAGAGATAGGTTCCAGATTTTCCTCCATGGGCCTTCTTGCTTGAGATGATCAAGCTCAACCATATTGTCCATGCAAAACCTATAAGCATTTTTCACTGTATAGAAACCATTTTTAATAAACCTCCAAATGGGGGTATCTTGATTTTCCAGCCCCATTATAGGAATAGCCATGATCTCTTTTGCATCTCTTTCACGGAAAGTGGTTCAAAGTTCTAATCAAGCTCTCCTTCCATGTCCCAGTTTCTTGGTCAATGAGATCACACACCTGAAGGTTTTCCAATGTTGAGCTTTCCACGGTATGGGTTCTTGGATCATCTCGGTTACGTAACCATGGTTGAGTCCACACATTAATTTTTTCGCCATTTCCAAGCCTCCAAAGATATCCCCCTTTTACTAATGTCTGGGCCGACCAAATGCTACGCCAAGTGAAACTAGGGTTATGGCCGATGGCTGCCCCAATATAGTCCCCTTTAGGGAAATATTTAGCTTTAAGAACTTTTGAAACCATAGCCTCTGGGTCAGAAATAACTGTCCAACCTTGTTTCCTTAACATGGCACGATTGAAACCATGGAGGTGGCGAAAACTCATACCTCCTTCTTCCTTCTGAAGTGTTAGCTTCTCCCAACTCAGCCAATTTATTCCCCTGCCTTCTCCTTTTCTTTTACCCCCACCAAAGGGAGTTCATCATCCTCTCTAATTCCTCCTGAAGTGTGGATGGTAGTAGAAAAGCACTCATATAATAGGTAGGCGTAGCTTGGCATACAGATTACATTAGAGTCTCTCTCCCGACCTGGGATAACATTTTACTACTCGTCTACTCCAACTGGATAACTTACGCCATACCCGATCCTCAATATACTGGAATATAGTTCTCTTGTTCTTCCCAATCATGGATGGTAAGCCAAGATACTTCCATGTACCCATTCATGTCTTAACATCGAGAATACCAGACAGTCGATCACAATTTAGGATATTGATATTAATTGTGACTGAAAAATATCTCTGACTTCTGAAGATTAATATGTTGGCCTGAAGCTTCTGCATATGTATTAAGGATGAGGGACACCTTCTGCGTCTCACCTTCCTCCGCTTGAAAAATATGAAACTATTATCGGCAAATAATAAATGGCTTATAATAGGGGCTCCTCTGCATATTTTCACACCATGGATGGCTCCTAACCTCTCTGCCTGACGGATAAGGGCACAGAGACCTTCAGCACATAACATAAAAAGATAAGGGGATAATGGATCCCCTGCCACAAGCCTTGCTCCGGTACAATCGGTCCCACTAGAACATCATTAAAATAGGTTCATACGCTTGACTACATTATTACACATTTTTTCATGATGTATTTTACCTATTTCGCTAACAGGTTATTGTTGAGATTTATTTCTCAAGATGCAAAGGCCCAATACAATCTTTTGGACTTATTAAGAAATATTGAAAAGTATTATAGTACTGTATATTATAAACTAATGATTCTCACATAAGAATTGAAATTATTAAGAAATTGTCACGCACGATGAAACTATTATTGTCAATACATAATTTATTGTTCTTAAATAGCAAATGGTACTCCATGCTTTTTATTAAAAAAGTTAAAGTGCCTAATAGATGGTTAAAAAATATGATGAAAAGTCTTGCAGCTGTACTAAAGTACTCCAACTTATCTCGAATGAAATATGGACTACACTAACTTGCAATGGAGTTGATTATGAAAGTAATTCAACTTAATTTCATAGTGGAATTACAGTACATTCGTCAAATTTAAATGGACAATTTAGGAGAAAACGAATTTATGAATTGTTATCTTTTAGTTGTATGTAGTTAAAAGTTGAAAAAAGTTAAAAAAAATGAGATGATCTATAACATTAACTTTTTATTGTTAAATTGTGTTTTAACATTTTTTATATTTCAAGTTGTCAAAATACACTACTCCGTATATAATTAAGAATCGTGATGAAACATTTGATAAAATTAGTAGTTAAATAAGAAATATGTTTTAATTGTACTTTGTATTTGTTAAGAAGGAAAGAAGTACACATTGATTTACATTGGATCTAAGAAAATAAGTCAACTTACTTTGTGTATGACTGTATTAGAGCAATTATGGCACTTCTTTCAATTATACATTAGATATATTGAACTTAAGCTAACGAAAATCACAATATGCATGTACATGTTTTGAGAATTCTGGTGATGCTAAGTTTGAACGAGGAACAAAGTTACGTTTCTGCATTTAAATCACATTTTATAATAAAATAGAAATAAAATAATATTGCCAAAGTTAGAATTTATCCTTATCACTAATCATACTAAATCAACGACATATTAAATGAATGGTGCATACTAGTAGTCTAGTACAATGCACTTCCCCGCACATGACATCCTCTTCTAACACCAACTTGTGCGTACATGGACTTTGTCGAGGGCATGAACATCATTAACAAAATTCATGTCTTTTATGGGGTTCCGTTTTCAGGTTTTCACTTTTCTAAATAATCATTGTTAAGCATGAGATGTGTAGAAGTTAATAGTTTGACAAAATTAAGAAGACCAAATTTGGAAACAATCAATCACAACTGAATCTTGGATATGAAAATTCAATTATGGTTGTATTGTAGAAATACAAGAGGAAACAAAGTGTTGAGAAAAGAATGAAATGAACCAATATCATATGCACAACCACCAATATGCAATACACACGAAAAATACTATCTTACACATAGTTGTTATATAAAGCACTATTAACAAGTGTCTCTATAACAAAAAAACGGTATCCAACACACAACAATTAAGAACTACTCCCTCCGTCCCGCTATGGTTGTCCCATTTTACCATTTCGGTCTGTCCCACTAAGATTGTCTCATAACTTATTTGGTAAAGTTTGTGTGGTTCTAAATCATTCCTACTTTATTCTTACTTTATCAATTCAATTTCAACCACATAAACTCAATTTTATTAATAACTGTCACCTTTTCTTGTCTCAAACTTAGGGGGACGGATGTAGTAATATCTAGTAGATAGTACATAAGAACTTCATACAACTTAAACAATTACACACTCCGTAGTACACATGAATTACTATCTACGCACAATACACATATACATTCAGCGGCGGACGCAGGATTTCCCGATAGCAGGGGCGGCAGTAGAATAATATACATACAAATACATATATATTAAAAATTTCGGGGTAAATATACCTAGAATTTTTTTTTTCGGAGGGGCGGCAGCCCCTCATTGCCCCCCTTTGTGTCCGCCGCTGTATACGTTCAAGAACCCATATCTTGCACATACTATGGACATAGAAAATCACAGCAATCCCTAATATGCAATGCACAAGTACTAGTATCTAGCATACATTCCAACATGTAATGCTTTTGAACCGATAACTAACACTCAATCCCTAATATATAAACCACATGGATCAGTATCTAAGTTGCACTTCATCAATTTATAATAAATATGAAAATATATGATGAAAATATAACTACGGTAGGGTGAATACGGAGTAATAATTAAGGAGAGATGATTGAATAACAATACTCCATCTAAAAATAATGAATTTTTCTGCCACGTCCCTTAATGTAAGATTCATTTGGGTTTGATGCGTGTTTTAAGGAAATATAGGAGCAAGTGGTTCTTTTAAAATTCTAACATCCAAAAAGTAAGAAAGAACAAGATGAGTCAAAAAAAGTAAAAGTTCAAATGATATATAAAGGGGTAAATACATAAAGTGAGAAAGTAAAAATTTAGTGTAATCCAATTTAAGAAAGTGATCATATTTTTTGGACAACCCAAACAAAAAAGTGTATCTTACAAAAATCGTTTATAAATTACAAATTAAGAGGTTACAAAAGTAAACTAAAATCATATAATTACTGAAATGCTCCATAACAGATATACAATTTAATTTGACTAAAATTACATGTGCACGGTTCGAAATTATTCACACTTTGTACGTTAAGAAATGTTCTTATATATTTGATCTCTAAATCCAACACTTAACATATACAATTCAAACACATTTGTTGATTTAATTACTAATTTTATCAAATGTTGCGTGGTTCTTAAATCTTAATCTTAAAGTGTTTTAATCTATTTTCAACTCAAATATCATCAATGTTAAACACCTTTTAAAAATAAACAATTAATTTTATAAATGATCTCATATTTTTTATCTTTCTCCAATTTTAACCGATACAAACTAAAAGTTAACAAAATAGTTAATTAATTTTTCATAAGCCGTTCATTTATATTTGACGAATGTACTATAGTTTCATTGTGAAAACAAGTTGAAATACTTTTTGTAACTCCATAGCAAGTTAATGTATTCTTTATTTTATGGGACACAAGTTAATTTATTCTTTATTTTATCCTAGGGGTAGATTGGGCCGGTTCGGGCCGGGCCGGGTCGGCCTATTACTGTGCTGAGCCGGCCCAGTCGGCCTGGACTGGGGCTAGAACCGGGGCATTAATATGGCGGGCTACGGGCTTGCTAAATGATGAACCGACCCGGCCCAGTCTGGGTCCAATTACTATTTTTTTCTCATTGGGCTAGCCTCTAGGTGGGTTGGAGTGGGCGGTTTGTGGTGGGGGTGGAATTAATTCGAAAACACCAAAAAAAACATGAGTCCCGATCGGGCCCAGTACAAACTCGGGTCGGTACCGGGCCTGAATATTCAGGACCCGGAGCCCAACCCTGGCCCGGTCTACCCCTATTTTATCCTAGTTCATATACTCCGTACTTGTTACTTCAATGGAGACACTTTGAAGTTTTAAATTTACAATTCACTCCAATTTTTTTGGATGCAATTCACCAAATTTCTTTAAATTCAGATGATCTAAAAAGACATTCTGTAATTTCAATTACAATGCATGTACGGAGTATAAGTCTTCACTTTTGTGTATCAAAAAAATTTACCACATTAGGAAATTGTAAAAGAGAAGAGCTCGGTACATACATTCCCAAAATAGTTAGCTCTAACCAGGCCATAACTTTAGTACTTCTAGCATGTCAACTAAATATGACTAAGAAAAAGAATGTCAATTGAATAATAACTGTAACATTTTAATGAACCAGTCACAATGTTGCTTCACCTCCTGGAACGTTTCAGAGGCCGTTTTGAAGAGTCCTCCTTTCCACGCTTCTCCGCAGTCTCCGCTTCCCTCCCTCTCTTTACTGGTCGACCCACTGTTTTCTTCGGCGGACTGTTCGCCGGCGGCGGCGCTCCTTTTCTCTTCAGCTGTACCCTTCTGCTACTACTACCGTGACCGTCATCGACCGCCATTTCCTTTGCTGGCGAGTTCTTCTTTATCCGCTTCAGGAAGTCGGCGGCGCCCCGTTTCTTGTCTACTGTAATAGTCTTTTCCTCTTCTGGTGGCTTATTTGATCCGCCGGATTTTTTCGTGCTCGTAGGTTGTGTGGAAGGATTGGCCGGGCGGCCTTTGGGTGTTGAACTTCTCATGCTCCTAATACCGGTCGTCGCCGCCTTCTCCTTCGTTTTCATCTTCACTTGGGCTTCTTCTTCAGGTGGACTGGTCTTTGGGTTGTGACTGGGTTTATCATTTTCTTGCTTGTTAGCAGATAATGAACCTTTGTTGCCTGAAATTGAGCTTCTCTTTCGGCAGACCAATATTGGGCCCGTAAGTTTGCGTTTTACAATAAGCTGATTTGACTTTCCGGGTTCCTGTTCGGGTTTGAGTACTGGATCGGGTCCAGATTCGGGTACGGGTTCATGCTTTAAAGAAGGGAGTGGTTTGGGTGATGGGATTTTAGTATTTTGGAGCTCTTTAATGACAATGCGGCGGAGTTGTTGGGCGGCAGTTCGCTCGGGAGATGAGACGGGGAAGAAGATGGTGGCATTGTTGAATACCAGTAAGAGATCCGAGTAGAACTTCATGGGGCATTCGGTATATGACCCGTTATCAATTCGGGACTGTATCGTTTCCAAGTCCACGTGTCTCCGGATCATGCTGTTGTACCTATCTGTTTTCTGCAGGATGATGGGTCACGTTTGGATCAATTTATTAGCCCATATATTATTTTCTGACTAATTACGTGTGCATGCGCAATGCCACAAGCCAATTAGCCAGTCAACGCCACTAAATACAATTTTTTAAGAATGAATGTTTTATGGGAGATACAATTTTTTAGCCCGTATATGATTGGATGGTGTTTCTTTAAAAAGGGAATAATTAATTGAAAAGATAATCAAATATATAATGTGATATATGTATAAAATTATGGTAGGTATTATGTTTATTTTTATATTGCTAACAATGAATAATATTAAATACTACGTATTTTAAAAATAATTGTAGTCATCTTTGTGTCTATAAACTTTATTTTATTCTTTTTGTTCCATTTTACTCCGTAGTATTCCGTATAATATATACTCCGTATTTTTCTTTTTGCTGATTTGTCTAAAGTATAAACACTCCGTATAGACTATCCTGATCCTGTTTCGTATTGTTTTCCAATTTTTAATACGGAGGACTATTATAATACTCAGAAAAGATAATAAGGAGAAAATTATAGAATAAAGTATGAGGATAGGAAATGTGAATGAGTAAAATACTGGGCAAAGTGGAGTAATTAATTTAAAGAAAAGTAGAGTAATAAGTTTGCACATAATATTTCAAAAGGACAAATAACGAAAAGAAATACAGAATTATCACTTGAGATTCCAAAAGATTCAAAAGAGATAAAAAAAATTGCCAAAAAAAAGTGATAAAAATATTTTTAAAATCTAAGATATTAACTAATAATCTCAAAACAATAAAGTGTTTGAAAAATTGAAAAGTTACGAAGAGTAAGAATAATTATTTCGAAGAGGGAAAACTTCTTTTCGAAATGAAATTACAAAATAGTGGTGTTGACTGTCGACGCAGAGTCCAACTCCTCTCCATTTCTTTCTCTCCATTTCCCCTCCATTTCTTATTACTTCCTATCTATCTCTACATTTTTCTCTATCCTACTCACCATCCTACCCCACTCTTATATCTCTCCAAATGGACATCTCCAGTGACCGGAGAGGATCCAAATTCGTCGATGCAGGAGAACTTCATACCACCCTGACGTCATAAGATTTGGTCTGTGGAGTACATTTGTCCTCGAAATGTTATTATTCGGCCCATCATAACTTGTGTCGGGCCTGTTAGCAGTTTTGTTTTGGACTGTTTTGCCCACATTTATTACTTATTAGGCCTCGGTACTACGGAATATGGTAACGAGAGTAATGTTCCGGTCAGGAATTTCCTGATCGGAGCGCCGTCTGACCTCCTCCTTTTGGGGTCTTCTCGATGGTATTTTTTGCTCAATTTTTTTGGTATATGTTACTCATCAAGTCTATCATGTATCAATTCATGTTAGCCGACCCCAATATCGTTTGGGACTAAGGTTTGGATGTTGTTTGTTGTTTGTCGTTACTCATCAAGTCTAATTTATCAATACCAAATTTGAACCAAAAATTCATCTGGGAAGATCATCAAATGATTTTTGCAAGTTAACTAGTCCGGAATATACGATTTTTGCAAGTTTACTAGTCCGGAATATACGATTTTTGCAAGTTAACTGCTTCGGAATATGTATATTCCGGACCAGTTAACTTGCAAAAATCATGTGACGACCTTCCCGATCGAATTTTTGGTTCAAATTTGGTTTGGATGAACTAGACTTGATGAGTAACATACACAAAAATTTGAGCAAAAAATACCACTGGGAAAGCCCCCAAACGGAGGAGGCCGGATGGGGCTCCTGTCCGGAAATTCCGGACAGAAATTATCCTGATGATAACGATATCAGGCTATGTAGCACGGAAACTCTCAGGAAAGAATATGTTTCCCGTTTCGATAACTCTCAGAAACTCTTTGGAAACTCTCCAAATAAGCCTTTTATTTAGCAAAAAGTGATTTTTCCCGTTTCTCGTTTCTTCATGATTTTTATGTTTCCGTGCAAGATAGATATCAGCTACTCCGTATAAAAACTTCCAAATCAACTGAGCAACATCTTTCAAATTCCAATAACTTAATGCTTCGTATTAATTATTGAGTAATTAATTGAGTGGACACATTCAGCTCATACGTGTTAAGTAATTGTTTACCTAATGCGAAATAAAGAATAGAAATAGAGACATTCAGACCATTTCTCAAATAGGTGTAAAAGTGTGCAAATAGGAATTTAAGAATTTTATTATTTTCTTTCTAAAGTAAATCATATTTTGATAATAACACAAAATTACTCCTACTTGAACATTTTGTTTATGTTTTACTCTAATACGAATGAATTTCCATAAAAACTACGAGAGTAATAAATATTACGGAGTACTGCATATATTTTACATTTAAAAATATCAAGTAATCTTCAATAACATTATTATTAATGATTGGCCACATTTCAATTAATTTTTTTTAAAATATACTCCGCAAAATATGGAGCCAGTATCATGCTTTCTAAAATTTGTAGTGTGATAGATACGTAGTACTCCGTATATTATACGTGTCCAGTGTCCACCAAGTGTGTTTTAAATTGACATTTGTTTTAGTTTGGTACGATTTTTTTTACTCCATTGGGCGCCTGGGAAGGGGTCTAGAGGGCCTGAAATAAACTGGGTTGAAACTCACTCCATTGAGTTTCGAACCCGAGACCTCCCATAACGGAGAGTGAGTCAGCGACCAGCTGAGCTGGACCGCTTCATCTGGTATGATTTGTTTAAGCTTGTTCTGGTCTAGTAGATGTCAGGTATATGTTTATTTCATATGTTTAAGCTAGTCTGATCTAATTTGTTTAAATTTAATTTTGTCTAATTTGATCGGATTTGCAACTAAAGTAATCTTAGTAAAAACCCTCTAAAAACTACTACTATGGAGTACTCCCTCTGTCCCATTTATTTTGTCTCGTTTTACCTTTTCGGGAAATCCCACTTATATTGTCCCATACCATATTTGGCAAAGTTTGTGTGACTCTAAATCATTCTTACTTTATTCTTACTTTATTTTTACTTTATCAATTAATATCAACCACACAAACTCACTTTTCTTAATAACCGTGTCACCCTCTTCCGGGACAATATAAATGGGACAGAGGGAGTACATGTTAGTAGGCATGGACCGGCTCTGGGCCGGTCCAAACTAGGCTTTTATTTTTTGGGGGCGGGCCCGAAATCGGACCGCTCTAACACACCGGGCCAGTCCTAGGCCCGGTTCCCAGGTCGGTTCACCGGGCCGGTCCGGACCCGCACAGTGGTGGGTGTGGCCGGTTCTCGGGCCGGGCCGACCGGAACCGGTCCATGCCTACATGTTAGGAGTTAGGACGGGTTAATAAAATGATATTGTATGTCTTCTAATAATCTAATTATGGTAGAAAGAATCTCCGTCAGGGAAAAACTACCAACCTATAATTGAAATTAGGATGTTTTCTTTTGGACTGAAATTTGCTGGTCTGGTCTGGTCAGTTTAAGTCTGGTCTGGTCTGAACTGGTCTGGTCTGGTGAACGTCTGGTCTCTGTGTATTTTATAACTACGGAAGTCTGGTTTGGTCTATTTAAGTCTGGTCTGATCTGATCTGTTTAAGTCAGGTCTGGTCTGGGACTCAAAACCGTCCAAAAGAAACATCCTTAAAGTTATACTTTTGGTGAGACGTGTATACATAAACGGGGCCAATATGATAATTACGTATACTCTAATTATGTTCAACAACATTCACATTATTTATTAACCTCTCATTACCTATATAAAACCTAATTTGTGAGGGCGTGCTGTTGAAGTTTTATTTACATAAAATAAATTAAAAAATAATATAAACGGTATAGTACAGTACGGAGTATATCTTTTAAAAAGAGGAGTGATAACTTTAATTTTTTTTGCGAGGGATGACTTTAAAAATTTTAAAAAATAGTGAATACGTAAATACACTCACGGTTTTCTTAACAAATTACATTCACGATTGAGTGTATTATGTTTGCTACTCCGTATATTATTACAGTTTTAATTTCTTATTTGGTATTTTGATTGGATATAACGGTCAAAATGGGTAGTAGGTTTTTAGCAAACCGTACTTTTTTAATCGATGAAATAAAATGCGGATGAACATTACCTGACTATCGAGCCGGCGTTCGAACATTGAGGCGTTTTTACGCGATCTTATCGTGTCTAACAACCCATCAAACGGTTCGGATTTCACCGGACTCTCCCGTTTTGTTTCCGTGGCGGTGGACAAAACCGCCGCCTCCGTCACACTCCCACCATCTCGTCCTCCGCCGCCGAGGTCGCTTCGTTTCCGCCGCTTCTTAGTCAAAGTTGCGGTGCTTTGAACGTCGCTGCTCTCCTTCGACGCGCCTAAACCGTCGCGCGCCCCTTCCGCCAAGTCAATTTCAGATTTCCCGTCCTCTGTCCGGTTCGACTCCTCACACCTATTGGAACTAGCATTGCAGGAATCCTCGTTTACGGCCGGTTTGGTTTCTGGATCCGGTTTAACCACTCCTCCCTGGTTCGGCTCCGGTTCAATCTTCTCTTCCGCCTCCCATTTCTCGGTTGAATTTGACTCGTTGAACGACCGATTCTCGTGGTCGGACTCCGCAACAGAAACGGATCTCCCGGACGCTTTCGCCGGGGCCTCCATATCGCCGCCGCTCATCTCTACGTTTTCCGATCTCGTTTCGGTTCTAACCTCTTCCAGATCTGGTTCCACGGCAACGTTTCCGGTGTCCTTGCTGTGTTCTCTTTCTTCCTCCATCCGCTTCACTGTTTGTTGCAGCGTCCTGTTTAAAACAGAGATCAAATCTCTTATCAGATCCGTAAACATACGAAAGAGATAGCACCATTTCTGCTTTAAAAATAATAATAACAGAGCGGTAGATTTACTGGATCGATATATCGTAGCGTTGGACCTCTTGTTTCAGCTCTGAAACACGGAGCTGTCTCAAGTTCTCTAGCCACGGAATATCAACGGCGGCAGCGGCGGTGTTGATATCCCCGTCGGAATCCTTATGCACGGCCAAATCGTCGCTGTTCATGAAGCGGCGATGGAGGCCTCTGTACTTGTCTTCGCAAACCTGAGCCGTGAGCAGGTCCGGTAATGAGCTCCGAGAGCGAAGCTCCATGGCGACGGAGTCCCAGTCCTTGAGTCCGTGTCGCTTCACAGCAAACGCCAATAACAGCTCTTCCCACGTACTCCATGTCCCCTTCTTCTCCCCGTCCTCCATTAGCTTCGACATGATTATAATGTCAATGAGTGTTTCCCAGAAATAATAATTTCAACAAAAATAAAACAACGATACATATTTTGAATATGTTACTCCATCATAGCGCATGTTGAATATGTTACTCCATCATCGGAAAACAAAGAAAAAGCTTCGAACTCTAGGGTTTAATGGTTCTCAGTTCTATTCGTCAATTCTGTGTCCAATTTTAAAAGTCTAGACAAATCCGCTCAGATTTAGTTTTTAGTCCATGTGTTGGGAAATAATGTAAAGACATGAAATATATCTATATATAGTCGTATATAAGAGCTTGGGTGGGTTGTGCGAAGAATGGAGGCTGAAACACGAAAATATATCGGAAATATATTATGAATATGCAATGGCCCACAAAGTCCAGCTGGCCTTGGATTAATCACATTCGACCTTTTCACGGTTTTGGTCATATTTTTAACAATTTTTTACTTTGATGGTAATCTATATGGGTGGGAAAAATCCAATAATCTAATCGACCCAACTGGATATATGACATTGGTCTGGGTTTTAGTTTAAATATGACCGGTCCGGGTTAAAATACCTGATCCGAACCTGAAAACTTGGGGTTCTAATTCGGGTTCTAAAATTTTAAACGCTGCCTTGACCGAAAAAACCCGATTTAATTAAGAAACCAAAAATATATATCATATAAAATATGTATGACGTATTTATACATTATAGTGATTTTTTATACTCCGTATATAATACGTATGGACTATTTTATACTACATCCGACCTAAATTGATTTGCAATATTGACTGTTTTAGTTAAACAATTTCATTTTATTCACTTAATTTGGATGTCAATTTCATTTTAAATGTTTAATTTGGAGTAAATTAAAAATATGGAAGATTTAACTTTAGCATTAGTTGACCAAAAAAATCTTTATTTTGTAAATCATTTTGGGACAGAGAGATTATTACTTTACCTTCGAACCAATTGTTCTTCTACAACATTTTCTATTGTGTGGTTTTTGGATTCAAAATATACTAATTTGATTTGAATATACTACGCATATTTTTGATTAGAAGTTTAGATATTTGCAATTGTTATTGTGATTGTATTTCAATTGTTTTTAGATATTTCAATTCGATTTTTTTCTCGAGTTCAACCCAACCCGGCCTGAACCGAACTCGAACTCGAGGCTCTTAGAACCTGGGCCAGCGCGAAAGTATTGGTCCTTTGGTCGGGCCCAAAAATAAATAACCCGGAGTTTTTCGGGTTTTTAACGGTCCTAGCCAAAACCCGACCCAACCCGACATGATCCCACCCCTAGTAATCTGTGCAAGGCCAGAACAGACCATACTTGAGTAGTTATAATCTTTATTGACATGGTAATATTGCCAAACAAGCCCTATGTAATATTGACGTGGTAATTTATAGCATAGTAAAATATTATATATTGGTATTTAGAGAAACAACGTAATCAGAAATTGTTCATAAGACTTCCAATAATCTTTCAATACGAAGAATTAATAATACAACGTTACTACGTATATGATGTTAATAGAATTATAATTTTAAAACACCACATCTCTATGTAAAAATATAAATTTGGATGATATGTTTACCTTTATTTGGTCACCATAAAAGAATAACTTTTTACTCCGTACTACGTAAAATAAGTTCTAGCTCGATTTCCCCTTTAATCCAGAAGGTGTTTCCAAACACATCTATAAATAATGTTCTCTGGGTTGTAGCATTCTCACTTGAACAAAGAATCACTCTTGATGTTTTCACCGTTTTCACTTTGGTCATACTTTTAAAACCAAATGGTAAACTTTTTTGAGGGTTTTTCTTTCAAAATCTAAGTTTGAGAATTTATTCCTAAATAAGATAATTTCAAACTTATATAGAAAAAAGTAATAAGAAATTGTTCATAAAACTCTTAATATACCTAATATTAAATCGATAATTAATTGAAAAGTATCAATCATGTTCGTGCTGGCCTGGGATTAATCACATTTGATGTTTTCATTGTTTTTGATTTGGTCATATTTTCAAAACCAAATAGTAATTAAACTCTTTCGAGGTTTTTTCGTTCAAAACCTAAGTTAACTTCAGAATTTATTCATAAACAAGATAATTTCAAACTTAGATTAGAAAAAAATAATCAGAAATTATTCATAACACTCGTGATATACTCATATACCTAAATCGATAATTAATTCAAAAGCATTCAATCAAATCCATGTTGGCCTTGGATTAATTACAATTGGGGTGCTTGGTAAATGGTGTTTCAGGCGAAAAATGGTGGTTTGACTACTTTTAGCGTTTTCAATAAGTGAAAAAGTTGTTTGGCACTAGCGTTATTGGACGGAAAAGCTGAAATCAAAACTCTGCAAATATGAGACTTTTGAGTTAGCGTTTTGAAATATGGCGTTTTTTACTAATTTTATGGCTAAAACGCTAAATTGCCAAACATCTCATCACAATCCGCCAACTTATTTTGCTAGTCAAACCCGTTGACTGAATTTACTATCGACAATCCGCTAACATACTTCGTTATCCACTAACCGCTAACCGTTAAATGTCACTTGATGCTTTCACCTTTTTCGTTTAGGTCATATTTCAAAACCAAATAGTAAACTCTATCGAGGATTTTTCTTTCATACCCTAGGTTAACTTGAGAATTTATTTGTTTCTAAACAAGATAATTTCAAACATATTTAGAAAAAAGTAATTATAAATTGTTCATAAGATTCTAATATACCTAAATGGATAATTAATTCAAATGAATTCAATCAAATTCATGTTGGCCTTGGATTAATTACACGTGATGTTTTCACCAATTTCATTTTGGTCATATTATTAAAATCAAATTCATGATGGCTATCTGGAAGGCTTAGCACGTGTTTCTACGAGGCAGAACCAATGTTTTCTAATCCATATTTTTATCATCACTATTGGGACACACTGGGAGAGGACATTGTGCGATATTGCCAAGCATCTGTTCACGGAAGGAAGGTTGCCAACGGAGGCGAACAGAACAAATATAGTCCTAATCCCGAAAAAAGATTAGCCTGAATTCTTTAAGCGATTGGCGGCTTATAGCACTTTGTAATGTACAAGTATCATTTAAAATTTTTGCCAAGGTTCTTGCAAATAGATTAAAAGGTATTTTGGAGAATTTGGTGTCTACAAATCGACAGTGGATAATGTTATGGTGGCATTTGAATCTATCCATTATCTAAAACGTAAGAGGCAGGGGAGGGATATATTTGTTGCTCTTAAACTAGATATGTGAGTAAAGCGTACGATTGAGTGGAGTGGAGCTATCTTGAGGTTATCATGAAAAATATGGCTTTCGATCAAAAGTAGATAAATATGGTAATTAAATGTGTTAGTATAGTACGGTGGAGTATTATATCCCTTTTGATGGCAATGTGGTGGACCCGGTTACCCCTAAAAGAGGATTGAGGCAGGGAGACCCATTATCTTCGTATGTGTTTATCTTGGTAGCGGAGGGGCTGAGTGCTTTAATCCGTAAACAGGAGACCATACACAATATTGTAGGGATGTCAATTGTGAGAGGGGTGCGGAGTGTCACATTTGTTTGTTGCTGATGACAGTTATCTCTCTTTTCAGGTCTCGTGAGGTGGAATGTCAAACGGTTAAAAATCTTTTACAATATTATGAGAAAAGCTTGGGTCGAAAGGTTAAATTTATAAAGTGTTCTATCATATTTAGTCCGGATCTCGGAGTGGATTCCAGATCTCGAGCGTGCAACTTATTGGGGGTTAGCAGCGAAGAAACTAATCCAAGTTACATGGGGCTGCCGACATTGTTAGTCAGGGAAAATATGGAAATTTTCGGTTACTTGCGAGAGCGCATTTCGAAGAGAATTAGTAGTTGGAACATCAGGTTCCTTTCAAGGGTGGGGCGAGAGATAAGCATTTTCACCTTTGTCGGTTTAATGTTGGGCATTGGATTAATGGTTGGTCAAAGTCATAGTTGACGACCAACTTGATCAATGTGCCAGAAATTTGGTTATGTTTGCTTGTCAATTTGATCGATTTGAAATTATTTCAAAATAAATATTATTTTATTATAATATTAATAAAATTCATTCAAAATGTTCATTTTCAAAACTCATTGATTTGTGGGGCCTATTCAAGAGGCAAGCATTGTAGCTAACCATTGGACAATCACATTGCTGGAAAATGGATTAGGTACAAAAAACTGATGTGGCAAGCAAAGCTACAACGTGTTTAGCTAACCGCTGGAGATGCTCTAAGGTTATACTTTATTATTAAGTAGATGTGAAGTCCTCGGCATGTGTTAAAAAATGATCAGAAACACGCTACATTTGATCCATTTGAAACTTTAGTGTCCTATATGAGATACACACGTAACGATGGTGTTCAATTTGGTCAATTTGAAATCTTAGTGCTCAGTTTGAGACCCAAATGTAACCGTAGTGTCTAATTTGACCTTTATTCCGATTTTGGGTTTTTGCGGCTAATTTTAGATTTTCTTTACGTCTGGTGGGATGGATGGACCTATATGCTTCAGTTTATAATGAGTCGGGCGTGAACTTAAATCCAACCAAGACATCATATTTGAATGGCTATAGTCTACAGATCCATGTCTCCCATGTTTCTATTATGATTTCTTTTATCTGTTCTGGCCTAGTCCGATCTAATTTAATTTATTGAGTTTGATTTGATCTGATTTGATCTAGTAGATGTTTGGCCCATGTGTATTTTACAACTATTGAAGTCTGATATAGTCTCTAACTGAAACCAGTTCGAGCAAATGAATAAATAAATAAATTTGTTTATTCATACTTGAACTCTGATTCATTGCGTAATTTGATAATCAGGTATAGTAGATGTTGTTTTGACCCGCTTAAGGTATGACACGTTTAAAATGCATATTTAATAAAAGGTTAAGGAAAATCGCACTTTAGTCCCTCACATAGTACCGATATTGAAATGTAATTTCTGTATTTCCATGTGTGTAAATATAACTCTTCAATTGTCCGAATTGATGTAAATGTAATCATCACTCATATTGTACATTTCACCTCTCAAATGACCACATTTACAACAATTCGGACAATAAAGTGGTAACATTTACAAACTTCAAAAACTGGGATTACATTTCAATACCAGTACTATTGAGAAACTAAAAGTGAGATTTTGTCAAAGATTAAACATGTTTTTTATTTTTATGTTTTTAATTGGACCGATTTTTTCTAGTCTTATCTAATTTGGTCTATTTAAGTCTAACCTGATCTAATTTTAATGGATTTGGTCTATGTGTGTTTCATAACTGTCAATGTCTGATGTGGTTTGATATAGTCTATTTAAGTCTAGTCTAAGGCTGAAATCAGTCCAAGTAAAAACCCTTTTTTTGGGTAAAACAAGTAAAAAATCTTTAGTTCACTAGTAAACATAGTGCTTCTTGGATTAAGTCTCTCTAAAATTGCTATTCTTTGTTTACAGAAAACTGTCAAATAGGTCTCTCTACTTTTGCGAAAGAATCAATTGAGTCCTACTACTTTTAAGCGAATCAATTAGGTACACGAAGTAATGAAATTTGATCAAATTAGCCATTTTTGAGTTAATCAATTTGGAAATTGGATCATTACCTGGAAAATAGCTAATTTGATAAATTTTTAATACTTTGTGAACCTGATTGATTCTTTTAAAAGTAGTAGGACTCAATTGACTTTTTCCGCAGAAGTAGAAAGACCCATTTGGCAATTTTTCTTTTATTTTTTATCGAGGTTAATTCCTTTGTTTTAGAGTTCGTATGTTTTGTATAAGGACATTTCCACCGACCAATTAACTTTTGTATCAATAAATAATAGGATAGTATTATATTACAAGTTAATCACATATTTTTAAAATATTTGTAATATCATTTACATTCTAAAGTATCATATTGACACAAATACAAACTAAATTGGCAAAAGTGGCATTCTACTCATTCGATTAGTCATCCTATTGAAATGTAAGATCCGGATTTTAAGATTGTATGTGTTACTCTGAATCCAAGGATGTGCTGTTGTAAAAGTCCTGAACTGAAGATGGATTATGAACATCCAATTGACTCTCAAATTGTTCTCAAGTATGCTGAGTTGTTGACAGGTCCACCTTCGCCGCTTGTCCACAGCTTCTAACACCCAGGACCCCCCCCCTATCGGGGAACCTCTGTCCCGTTACATCAATCAACACCACACTCAGGGGGAGATGGCTGTGAGGGCAGGGGTGAACTCGAGCCCAACCAAAATATTATTTTTTCTAATTAGAATAGGTATAGAAAAAATAACTTTAAATAATACCAACTATCTTGCATGAACCGAGAATAATACATACTTTAGAAATAACTTTTAATAATACCAACTATTTGAATGTCAACGAAATCCAGCCATTTGAGACATCAGAAACTAATATCAAAAATCATCAAATAATTGATATTTGGAAATACGATCACTTATTTGATATTTTGATATTAGTTTTTGATGAATTAAATAAGTGAGTGTATAGTGAAAATTTGTTATATATCACTTTTGATTTATATTCAAATAGTTGGTATTATTAAAATGTATTACCAGCCCACCTCAAAATTATTCGAATCCCAGCCCACAGCCCATTCCAGCCTTACCCGCGAACTAGCGGAAGTCCGAAGAAGAAAAATCCAAGAACGAAGACTGCTCTGCGACTTGCGACTGGCGCTGTGTGCTGTGTGCTGCGACCCTACCACGACGCGCCGCGTTCCACCGTCCACGCCTCCCGTCTAGAACCCTCCGTCGTCGGCCGTCCTTCTCTGGACTCCGGCTCTGCCGCTCTGGCATCTGCCTCCAGCTCCGAAGCTCCAACCTCCAGGTGAGCTTTTTAAATATTTGCTCTATAATTATGTGACTGTGTTATTGACTTATTGTGTATTATTATTTTTAGCTTTTTAGAGTTTGAGGTTAGTGAATCAATTTGATTATCAATTAAATTTTCAATATGAATTAAAATAGTGTTTAATTCATTATAAATTTATAATTATTAAAGATAGAATTAAAGATTAGAGAATGATTTATTCATTACACAATTGAACATTAGAAAACGATTTATTTATTGTGTGGACATGTAATAAAGAATTGAAATTTTCAATTGAATCTTGAAATTGGGAATACTTATTAGTTTTAGGTACAACGATTGTTTTTTTCTAATTACTTTTATAATCTTATACAAGTATTTTAATTCATGTCAATATTCAAAATGTATTTTAGAATGGATAATGAACATATTGCCCAGAAAGCAAGCATGTGAAGATGGCACTTCGTAACAAAATGGGAGATGATTTTTCTTGAAGATTCATTGATGATCTACATTGAACGAGATTTTTCTTGAAGATTCATTGATGATCTACATTGAACGAGATTTTTCTTGAAGATTCATTGATGATCTACATTGAACGAGATTTTGTCAATAATGTAGATGTAGATTCTATTATTGATGAATTTTATACATTGAAGTCGCGTAAGGCACAACTTGAATGATGTTTTGATGAATATTTTAAGTGTTGACGACTTGACATATTGTTATGTATGCGTCTTCTATTTTTTTTCTCAGCCCACCCCAGTGTAACTTTCTGGATCTGCCCCTGCCCATCTTCCGCCGCAACGCAGGTAAACAAAAATATTTTTTGGTTCTTTCAGCTTGTCAATTCTTTTAGTTCCTTTTTTAAATTTGGTTTATCTAGTTTGATAAATTTTCTTAGTTAGCGTTTCACCATCGCCGCCTATGCGAAGCAAAACTAAGATCATTGTTCACACATCCAACAGAGTAGGAAATTTCATAAAACTGGAATGGTGTTCGGTCAGATAGTGATTGGTCCTCCAGGCTCCGGCAAAACCACTTACTGCAATGGCATGTCTCAGTTCCTACAGCTCATTGGCCGGTATAAGTCTGAAAGTCTTTTCAAATAGTCGTTTTTCAAAACCCTGATGTATACTGAGTATCTCTTTAGTGGTTGGTACATCAGATAATTTTTCGTGAATCCGGACTAATGGTATATGAATTACCTAAGATAGTTTTAATATCACTGGGCTCCAGTTAAAATTGCAATCCATTTGTGGAGTATTATTTGTTATAATGCAGAAAATGTGTAAACTTGGAGTAGCAGAAACACCAGCTCATTTGTATGGTTGAAGGCTTAATTCATTAACTTTTTGGTAATTTGATTGTAGGAAAGTTGCGGTGATTAACTTAGATCCTGCAAATGACAATTTACCGTATCCACTTAGTTTGAGCTTCTGTAATTTTTTTTTTTTGTATATTTTACATGGTTCTCAATTTAATTTTTTATGGGTATTGAAATCAATTGCACTCTGTTCTTTCTTAAGTTCTAAAGCTATGAATGTGCTATTAATATTGAAGATCTCATTAAACTGAGTGATGTAATGGTTGAGCATTCTCTTGGTCCCAATGGAGGTAATGATTCCTTTTGCCTGCACTTTCTCAAATTTTTATGTTTCATACTTTCATCCCATATTGTCATTTAATATCAGCAAATAGTTTTCCAAGGTGCTATGTCATATGCAAATCAAAAGAAAACCATGTGAACTACTCCATGGCCTTCTGCTAAACGCTTATCAGTTAGATGATGTAAAATAAAGTCAAGCATAGCTGAGAGTCTGATACATGGAAAACCTAGCTTATCTGACATTTTCCTTGCACTATGCTATATAGGTCTTGTATATTGCATGGACTATCTTGAGAAGAATATTGACTGGTTAGAGGCCAAGTTGAAACCCCTCCTAAAAGGTTGCTTTGCTACTCAATTTAGTGTACTTTCTCCATGTTGAATTTTTTATGTTTTCCGAATCTTTCTTTCTTTTGATCAGATCACCTGTAAGTGTAAAAAACGTAGTGATTCATTTTAACATAGCTATCTACCAATTTTGTTAAAACCACTTTTGGAAAGCTAATTTGAAATGTATTTGGAAGTGAATTCATGTACATGACGGCATGACGCTAATGGCCCCCTAAAACAATACGAAAAGATTTTTTTAAAAGATTTGAGAATTTTGGTCCTAGAGCTCACAATTCCTAGAGCTCACAATAAACCATACGAGTTAATTTTTCTTCAAGTGACATTATATATTTATATAACAAATCCATCAATTTGTAAGAGAAGGGTTAAAGGCATACAATGGCAGATGAATTATTCTAACCACCTAATCTGTTAGTGGTATTTCATGTTAGATTGTGCATCATCTAGGTTTTAAAGTTTGACGTCCCAAAGTATGTGCCCTCATGAGAAACATGAGTTCCCTCCCTTTTTTTATAAAGACATTGTTATAGGATTTCAAAAAACAAGTACCTATTGCTTCTTTTAGTATTTGATTATTCTTAAGAAGCTTTAACGTTCACTTGGACATTGCAGATCACTACTTTCTCTTTGACTTTCCGGGTCAGGTAGAGCTATTTTTTCTACATGAAAATGCCAAAACGGTGATCATGAAACTCATCAAGAAGTTAAATCTTAGGGTATGATCAGGCCTTTCAAGTTAATTAGATGTGCTTCAATGTTCAGTAGGCCAAACCACTCCCTTATCAGGATTTTTATCTTTAATGCAGTTGACTGCAGTACATTTAGTTGACTCGCATCTTTGTAGTGATCCTGGAAAGTATGTGAGTGCATTGCTGTTGTCATTATCAACAATGCTACATTTGGAATTGCCACATGTCAATGTTCTTTCCAAGATTGATCTTATTGAAAGCTACGGGAAGCTAGGTTAGTTTAGGCTTTTTTTAATAAGCCAATTTTGGCACCTTAAGCATTTTTATTGGTTTGTTTTTAACCCTTTGTTTTGGTCTTGTACTTGCAGCCTATAATCTGGATTTCTATACAGATGTACAAGATTTGTCATACCTGCAGTATCATCTCGATAAGGATCCACGTTCTACCAAATACAGGTGGCTTAAATATGCTGTATCTTTGCAATAATCTCTTATCCTTTAGGCTATGTTTGGAATGCATTAATTTCTGGGGGGATGTTGTTTGTGTTTGGCACTTCTGGTTTACCTTAGAAAATACGAAGGAATATCAAATCTAATTAAGATTTACTTCTTACATATATTTTTATTCATTAGTTTGTGTATAATAAAATTTACACAAAAAGTTAGTCTGTAAAATATCTAAAACTGATTTGTTAAGTTTGAGCCAAAAAATATTTCCCAAAATTTCATTTTTTTTCAATGATTGTCCTTGTATTCTTCTCTATGTTTTCTTCCCAGTAATCTCCTGGTTTCCAAAAAAAACTGCATGTCTAGGGAAAACTTTTCTATTTGTTTATGTTTGACTTAATTACATACTACCTCCGTCCCAAAAAACTTTGCCATCTCATAACATTTGGAGCATGATTTTGAATAGTATAGTACTTTGTATTATGGAAGTTTTAAAAGTTTATACTTTTATGAGATTACTTTTAACAAAGAACATTTTCATATAATTTGAATAAAAATATATATTTGGTCAAAGTTTTAAAGATGCCAAAGTTTTTTGGGACGAAGGTAGTATGTAACAGGACTTCAAGTTCCATTTTCATTATATCATTTGATGTTTATCTTAACATATCTGGCATTATTCATACAAGTCCCAATCTCTCAGTTTCTCATTGAAGGGGAACTAATTATTAACTTCTTTTACTTTCACTGTTGTTTATAAACTTCTCAGAAAGCTTACAAAGGAGCTCTGTGAGGTGATAGAAAATTTTGGGCTTGTGAATTTCACAACATTAGATATACAGGCATGAGAGCGGTTTTGTTTTATTTAACCCATCAAACACACTCAGTTTTTCCATGTTGATTTTGCATGTTCAACCAAATTTTCATTTCAGGACAAGGTGAGTGTTGGGAACCTTGTTAAACTGATCGACAAAAGCAATGGCTACATCTTTTCTGGCATCGATGCCACTGCTGTTGAGTTCAGCAAAATTGCAGTTGGCCCAGTTGACTGGGATTACTATAGATATCCTTTTTTACGTTTATGATTAGTTGCCTACTCTCTTGGGGAATATGGGCTTTGTTTGGTACACACACTGTGACACTGGTTAGAGAGCTCTTGTGAAGCCTAGCTCCTTTGAGACATATCGTGTTTCACTTTAGGAGTAATACTTTTGGGGTAAAACTCGCGTCCTTTTTCTATACAAGTGATAGTTTTTAGCTCAAAAGTATTAGGGGGGAGGTACTCTCTTCGTCTTTGAATGTTCTTCCCACCTTCCCTTTTGTCATCCCAAAAAGTTATTCCCATTTCTTTTCAAGGAAAGAGTAGTTCGGGTTGATGTTAAACCTTTCATTTCTAAATAAACCTCTACCATAGAATTTGAATATCTTAATGCCCATGTAGAAAAGCAAAGGAGAAGAATATTTGGCCTTGTTTGTTTTATGGGAGAAATAGAGAAAAGAGGAATTGGGTGAGAGAGAGATGAAGACAGAATAGTAAAACAATAAGGTAAACTTGTGTGTTATCTGGTAAAAAGAAATAACAAAGAAACAGAAAGGCAAGAAGTATATGTTATATATATATCTAGAACTAGATAGAAAAAGTACCCCATACATGATCCCACTTTCCTGCCTACATAACCAGGAAAAAGTACCACTTCCATACAAACAAAGGCTTAGTGATAGAGAAAGTTCTTGTGATATACATGCATAGGTTCTTGTGTCAGCAAGTTAGCTCTAATTCTATAACTTAAATAATACAATGATGCCTTACATTGCTCACAAATGTGTTCTGTTATTGCTGGATTGAGTCAAACACATTCCACATGCGGACTCTAAAAGTTCATAGCAGGGAAAAATTGCATCCCTTGACTTGAAACTTTACAGTTGCTGCAGTGCAAGAGAAATACATGAAGGATGATGAAGACGATTTTGACAAGGATGGCTGATTCATCTACCTACTTGGCTACTTTCCTGTTTAAACTTTTTTGCATTTTTAGTAATTCGCAGTCTTAAATCTTTAATTATAACCATATATGATGTGAGGTGTAGAGGCTGTTCTGCTTGGATTTACATGATTCTACTTTGACACTTTTGTACCATAGTTGTACCATTATAGTATTCTCATTAATGATCTTCAAAAATCAGTTCTTGGTGATTCTTTATTGCCACATAATAACCTTTTTAATAATTTAAAAGAATGACTTCCAATCCCCCATCTTCAAATACTCTGGTTATTTTTTTATCATGTACCCAAATATCACAAATAGCTTTTCAAATAGTCTTAAAATAGTATGTATACAAATCTTGATCACATATTATTTGAACTAATAATAATCTTATTAAAAAATCTAGGCAAAATTCACAAGAATAATTCATACTTTTAGTGATTCTACAATAATAATCCCTACTGAAAGTATTCATAAAGATAATCCAAACTTAAGGTTATTACAATAATAATCCCTACTGAAAGTATTCATAAAGATAATCCAAACTTAAGGTTATTTCAAATTAGTTCCCGTTTAATACTCCCAATCCCTATATCCACGTTCTTTTTAACCACTCTTCTTCTCGATCAACACTTCTATATCTTCCGACCTGTAGAACTACATATGGGCATATGGCGAAAATGACGTTGAGATTAAACGTGTTTTAGTTTTAATTCATCCCGACAAGACGAGTGGGATTTATAAAAGTGCAAGTGGGTTGAGAGTATTGACGAATATTAATTTAAATTCACTCCAATTTATTCTTGTAGACACCATTGTTAATTCGGATTATTTTTATGAACATTCTCAATAGGAATTATTATTGTAGAATACTAGAATCTCTAAAATTGGATTATTCTTATGAATTTCGTCATCAATCTATTCCCCCAACCATTTTGCCCTTAAGTATTGAAATTACTTCTCGTACTTCGTGCTCAGTGTATTACTGAAGTACTCCTTTCATGAGGTTCATCCCACTAATATTGTCCCAGTTCTTATTCACTTGATTAATACAAATCACTCTTAATCTCTTACTTTATATATCAATTTTTTATCAGATTTGATTTTGGTTTTTGTGGCTTTGTAAAGCTTTTAGTGTAGTTTCTAAATATGTAACCTTTTTCTAAAAATAATTTGAATGCGAACAGAGATCTGTATGCTTTATCATCGATCAAGCATCGTAAACCGGAGCCAATGAGACAATAATAGTGGGACGAAGAGTATAAATGTTTTTGGATTTTCAAAATATGAGTCTTATGTTATTATTCTCTATATAGGACTATAGGAGTACTTATTGTGATTACTTCCATTTTAGAGTTTACTATTAACAAAACATAGCAGTAAATTTTCAAAATGGTGGTAAGTTACTCATATTCAAGAAAAAACATAATAATCATTTTTTTTATCATCAAAACAGGCCTCTATTCGTATCAAAAGATTCAGGATCATTACATAAAGTAAAGGGAAAATAAAACTGACACCAACTGAAGCTCCAACAACTATGACTGTAACCATACGGTGAGACTCTGAGACGATCACCCCTGAAAGAGCAACACGAATCGCTAACCATGTAGTGGGCTTGACACAGCCAAATCTGTTCCCATAGATCCAACCATACCCAATGACATAAAGAGGGGCTAAAAACTCAAACAAATTGTCAAAACCAACAACAAAGATGAACACAAGAAAACAAATGACAAACAGATAAAAATGACTAGGAAAACTTTCACGGACTCTAGCACCTCGTACAACCCATGGTGGTGGTTCAGGAGGAGGTCGGACCGTCGCTCGATTGATACTCTCTTTCAGTGGCGTACCCACTGTATGACCCAAATCCATGCCATCGAATGGAGCGTTCAGCCTCTCCACGTTAACCATGTCCCGATCATCCCTACGTCTCTCTCTCGCTTCTTCCACCATCTTCTCGTTGCCACGATCATCCATCCCGAGCTACGTCCAAACAACGGCAATCCGGCGCAGTGCTGCGTCGATTGAAAGAAACGCCGCACCAGGCAGTGAAGTAAAAACCCGACACGAGATTAAGAAAGATCAAGAAAGATCGAAATCGGAAATTACCTAGCGGCGTCTCTGCCTTAGGAGCTCTCTACTAGGGGTGGACCGGTTCCGGTTCGGGCCTGGCCGGTTTGCGGTTCTGTTTTGTTGGGCCCGAGCCCGAACCGGTAGCCATCGGTTCCGGGTCCGGACCGGGCCGAGCCGGGCCACCCGGTTTGTAATTTTTTTTTGGGCTTCTCCTATTTAACCCCCAACTCAGCTCAAATGGCCCAAAATACCCAGCCCAACCCAAAAACTTAAAAAAAATTCAGAAAAAATAAATAAATTCAGCCCGGACCAGGCCCGAACCGGCCGGGCCGGTTCACCAAATGGAGGGCCCGAGCCCGGAACCGAAGCCCACTGGGCCGGGTGGCCCGAACCGGGCACTAACCGGTTCACCGGGCCGGTTGGCCCGGCCCGAGTCCATCCCTACTCTCTACGAAGAAGAGAGGCCGTCATAATACTCATATTTTGAAAATTTTTCTCTATAAATTAAAGCCACACGGTAACATACAATGTGCACTGATACTTCGTACTTCGTAGTGGTTTCATTAGACATACTCATCAAGACGCCTGATGGACATATTTGGACCGAGTCACCACCAATTTCCATCATTCAGCTACTAATTATTCTTAACTGAAGTGTACATTTTAAATCCTTATCATGTTTATGAACTTTTGGTACAGCTCATATAATTCAATAATCATTGATTCATTAATGTATAAAAAATATTCTTTAACGTATTCCTTTGCAAACTAATACTTATACTTTTCATTATTTAGAAATAAATATATACTCATACTCCGTATCCTATATTTTCCTAACTTGTTTTTTTTAATCATTGTACCTGTATTTGTGTATTAAAGTTTGCATGTACCAGTATGAACGTATTTATTAACCAAAAAATGGAATAAAGTTTAAACAGATTGCCGGCATGGATTCAAAAAAAAGATATCCATCATTGAGGATTAAAAAAAAAGAAGCATTTTATTCATCCAAGCAATAAATATAGTAATGTACATTTTTTACCGAGCGACCCTCCGAGTCTCAGACTGGAGGTCGCCACAAAGCTATACTTCACTGGGTTTTTACGAGTATATATGGAGCCATCGAATTATGGATCATGAATGTATCAACCACAAAAGACACCTAAAGCAGCAACAATGTGAGGCTAAGACTACTTAGGGGCTATTTGGATTGTCGTTGGTCAGACGTATCTGCAAATTTTGAACAAAAGCATCACCAATTATGCCAAGCAAAGACTCTAGGGACAAAACATAAAATGAATACAAACTCATAGGTTATACAGTAACAGACTATATACAAATGTATTTACAAATCTAAACACTGCAAAAATAGCAGCAAAGTTAATCAGTCACTATCTACACAGATTTACCAGTAGTAGATCCTCATCAGTGCCAAAGGATTTGCGAGCCTCTTCAAGACACCTTGAACTTACTCTTTCATGCTTCCTGGACACAAGGTTTTGTAATCCTTAAGCCACTAGAAATAGAGTGCAAAATCTCAACAATATAATTAACTTTAACTAATATGGCCGATTTTGCCATCGGCCATATAATACTTACTGAATTTGGTCTTTGACTTTCTTTTTGATTTAATTTGATACACTACTATGCAACTTGGACTCAATTTACTCATCAAGCATATTCCTCTCTAATTAAAAGAAGTATTTTTTGCCTGTAGAGTACTAAATTCGGTCCAAATGATACAATCGAGGACTAAATTAAGCCTGGAGTGTGAGCCTATATATTCAATGGACAAAACCCTTCTCAATTCAAACCGGATATGTAGGAATATATTGGGTCTAAATTTGTAGTCGTGACCAGACTGGGTCCAATAAAAAAAAGGAGCAAATTGAGTAAAATCTGAGCTTTCTTTTCCTCGGGGACTAAAATCTTAAACTGCATGACACAATTATCCCCAATGAACAATCTGAGCTTTCTTTTGTAACTAACAACTATTTGAGGAAAAGGATAAACATAAACTGATTCACCCATCTCTCATTCAGAGTGGCAATATAACTCAAGATATTTCAGGCCAAATTCTTAGCCCACATAGACAAGCACCGCCTGGTAATGTCATTCCACTAGCTTTTTATCCTTTTCCTCAGATTGAACATATCATAAAAGCTTGAAGAATGAAAATGGTGAGAAAGAATAAAACAAACTGTGAGCTTGCTGGATCTCGGATCTCGAATGTGTCTGTGTCCTCATCATAGCCACAAATGACAACATAGTGACCTGCAACAAGTAAAATCAATGTGAATCGCCATCTTACACCCTAAAGGTATGTGTGGACCCCAGAGAATGCTAAGGGAAATGGGGGGAAATGCTAAGGAGTTATTTTCTTATGCTTGCCTATATCTTAGGAAGTGCTAGAGAAAATGAAATGCTATTAATTTTTTAAAACCATTTAGATTTAAAAAAAATAGCCATTCTAAAATTACTTATTTCTATGAAAGATAAATAGATACTACCTCCATTCTTAAATAAGTGCAACATACCAAATTTTTCACTATTCACATGTTCTACTTTGACTACATTTTATTTATTGATGTATTAATATATATTTTTGAAAAAAATATTACTAAATTTGTCTCATTGTAAAATTTTAAAATCTAATTTTTTTAATTTTTTACTAATAGGAAGTTATATATATTAATGGTCAAAGTTGTGCCTCGGCAAATGTGAAACGTTGACTGTTGCACTTATTTAAGGACGGAGGAAGTATAAATAAATGGGTAAAACGAATTTGAACAAATCTGTAAAATACATGTATTAAGTTTGAGTATATCTTTTATTTTCTCTCAACTATACATGTTTAAGTTTGAGTCTGAATTAGCTTCCAAATTCCTTTTCCGTCCGTCCCAAAATAATCTTCTATTTCCTTTTTGGCGAAGAATTTGTGGTTCACAACATTTCTTACACATTTCTCACTCCTATGCAAACCTCTCCACCACACAAATACACAATACTCACTATCTTAATCCCGTGCCAAATGTACTTTTGGAAGATAATTTAGGGACAGAGGGAGTATATGTTTTCATTCCAACTTTTTTTAGTATATTTCGTGTTCCAAAAGGACCGGATCTTCTAGCGTCACTCCACCTTTGAG